GCGCACGCCACGACCGAAAAGCAGCACGGGCTTCGGAGGCTGACGTGTGCACTCGCCCTCGACAAGCACACCACCTGGGCCGCAGGTGACTTGCGGGGGCTCCGCCGCCAATCGGCCAGGGTCCCTAGCAGCTGGTGCTGGGTCCGGCAGCAGCCCGCGCTCGGTAGTACCCGCGCCCTCCTCCGTCGCAGAAATCTCCAGGTGGCCAGGTGCCCGGCCCCAAGCCGCCGCCTCACTCCCGAGGTCTCAGGGCCCGCGGGACTCCTTAGGATGGCACATGGGCCGCGCACGTGCTGCCGCCAGGAGGGGCCGCGGAGTCACCTTGGCGTGGCGCGCCTGAATGGCGGTCTGCGCCGCGCGCAGGTCTGGGAGAGCACTGTAGAGAGAGCCCTGCCGGGTTTTGCGGGGGTGGACGTACCGGGTGCCCTTGGCCAGCTCCTCTCTCGCTTCGATTCTCCCCACTTTGAACTAGAGCAGACATCAGTCATTCTCACTGTGCCATATCCAGACACCATTTATTAGTATTTTCTTTAAATCCCAGACCCACTTTCCCTTCCCTGAAACACGTTTTTTAGAGAATCGTTATATCACTGCCTTAAATGGGAAACCAGTATCACTTGCCATAAATAGAAGGTAAGAGTAAAAATAAGCACAATGAAAACAAACGAAGGTTATTAAATTCTAGCTGGAAACTGGCCTGCCAAAGTGCCCTCTGTGAACAAGGGAGATTAGCAAGGTTTGGAGAGGTGCTAAAGACCTATTAGCACCCTACAGAGACTTTCTCCTCTAAGTTACCTGGAGGTTGAAAAGAGAATGTTCTCACTGCGATGTGGTAAAGGGACACAATATTGTATCTGTCAAACCATATTTGGTGTCAGCCGGTGAACTATTGCTCACTTCCAGAGCCCTGGAATTGGAGGATGTCTGCCCATCCTCCCCCTACCAACAGACTTATCTGCCACCTCATGATAAGCTCTGGGGTCTGGAGGGCACCATATTGAGGGTCCAGCTCCGTTGGATGAGAGTTTGGCATTGAAGCCCCGTCTCTAACCTCTCATAGATTTCCCCTGAGCCAGTCATGGAAATTCTCTGGGCCTTGGTTGGGTCATCTATAAAGTGGGTATGATATGCTAGGTCCACAGAGTGACAAAAGTGCTAACATGGACTTTTGCATTCTAGAAAGTGGCTTGCTCTGCGTCCCCCTGTGCAGTCTCGAGGTTTTTCAGGGAAGTAGGTGGGGCAGATGGAGGTGCAGGGTCTAGCTAGAGGGCGCAGCACTTACGCTACTTGTGTTTAATCCCTTAGCTGGAGGAAGTGAAATCTAGGCCTTAGAGGGCTAAGGGATATATGTGCCCAAGGTCGCCCAGCCAGCAAGTGGCAGGATCCCAGCCCAGTGCTCTTTCCGCGTCCAGGCTTTGCTTCTAGGAACTGGCTTCAGTCCAGGAGGGTTTGTGCTTAGCTTGACGCACAGAGGTTGTGAGCTGGCCATGAACTTGGCAGCGGGAGGTAGGCAGGGTGGCACACTTCACCTGGAAGGCTGGGGTCAGGAGGACTCAGGCCACTGGGCCGGTTCCCCCACTCCCACTCCAGAAACGTGGCAGGCGGCCAGCTCTGAGCCTGCCCAGGAACCCATTACGTGCTGCTTCTGCCGAGTTCTTCATCCTGAGCAGGTCACGCTCCACTGACCATATCCCCATATTGAGGGTTGATGTACATGGGAGCTGTGGGGCCTCAGGAGACCCACCTGCCACTGTCTCTACCCTTGCCCCCCCGCAACCCCAGCGCAGAATGGCTCAGTCAACAAGCAGGTGCACGTAGGGATCGATGCCCAAAGAAGCTTTATGTGGCAACACCTTACCTCTCACGTGTGCCCAGTTTCCGATCCTCCCATTTGCCTCACCATCTCATATGGACCATTTGTCATGGCTAAGTCCTTCCTTACTGGGCTCCTGGTCACCCCTCTATTCCATAATCCATGACCACTTCAATCATTTTCTAAAAATGCCACCCCCGCTCGAGAATTTTCAATGGCTCCCCGTTGCTTGAGATATAAAATTAAAACTTTTTAGCTCGGCATAGAAGGCATCCAGCCAGGATCTAATTCCCACCACATCCCACCATCAACCTCCATTTCAGCCAAATCGAACCCCTTCTGGGTCCCTCAAAAAGCTGGGATTTCCTTCCCCCAGGCCTTTATGTATGCCAATCCCTCTAACTACCTTTTTTCCTTTTCTTTAATCCATTGAACTTCTACACATCGTTCAAAGCGTAATGTCCACACCTCTCCCCACAAAGCCTCCTAGCTTTTCTAACAGTGTAAATCTCATCCTGCTCTGGGTTCCCGTGACAACAAAACCTGGCTCTTGCACTGTGGGTAACTGACCATCTCTTTAAGCCTCAATTTCTTCACCTGTAAAGTGGGTGTTATAATAGTAGCTACCTCATAGGTTGTCGGGAGGATTAAAAAATACAGTAAAGTGCCTCGCATTGGAGGCTTTGCATAGAATGGCCTTGATCATAATTATCTGCTGTATGGCCTGTGTTACATCCAGCCTCACGTTTTGGACACATGCCTGGTCACCCCCCGTTTGCATGTGAGCTCCTTGGAGTGGGGACGGGCCTGATTCATCTTCGTATTCCCACATCACTAAGGGCAGCATCTTGCATGTTGTGAGTTTTTAATAAACGCTTATTGAATTCTTCTCAGCCAAACAGCCTCGGAGCAGAAGAAATGCACAAGCTCTCCTTGGAGACGAGAGGAAGAAAGGGGTGGGCAGACATGCGAGGCAATTTCATTTAGTCCTCTAACAGCCTCACTTACAGAAGGGGAAACTGAGGCTTGAGGAGGCTGTTCAAAGCCAGGCAGCTAACAAGAGGCCGAACTGGGATCTGAGAGACATTTCTCCAAAGAGTTATAAGATATTTGCCCAATCAATGTTCTGTCACATCCCCAACAGCTTTTCTAGAACAGTGGTTCCTGTTCCTGGCGGAGCCTAAGAATCACCTGGGGGAGATATTAAACAATTACAAAGCCCAGGCTCCTGCTCAGAGATGCTGATTTAATTGCTCTGAGATTTAATCTGCCTGAAATCTATACTGTTTAAAGCTCTTCTGAGTAATTCTAATGTGCAGCCAGGGTTGCCAGAACAGTGGTTCTCAAAGTGTGGTCGCTGTACTAGCGGCATCAGCATCGTATAAGACTTAGTAGAAATATGGGTCCCACCTAAGACCCACTGGATCTGAAGCTCTGAGGTGGGACCCAGCCATCTGGGTTTCAACTAGCCCTCTCAGTAATTCCGATACCTGCCAAAGTCTGAGAACCACTGACCAGAAGATTAAAGTTGGCAAAACCTTAGAGGTCATGTGGCCTGAACTTGACCAAGAGATGGTTTGTGGCCTGACCAAGTTCAACACATGTTAATGGCAGGCTAGACCCAGAGCCCAGGTCTCAACTCCTAGCACAGTGCTCTTTCCTGCAAAACATGCAAGGCTGCAGAGTCCCTAACTAGGTTTCTGGCCGTGGCAGGCCTGGGCATCTGAATCAGCCTCGAGCCTACAGCAGAGGTCAGCATGTCACCAGCTGCACAAGCCCAGCTGGATCAAGGGTACAGGGTCAGGTGCCAGTCAATGCAGAGAGCAGCTAGCTGGAGGAGACTGGCACCGTACTTGGCATTAAGGACCTTGCTAAACACCCTTGGAGGCAGAGTAATAACAGAGGGATGTCCCCAGGTCAAAGGTCAGCAAGAGCACAGTTGAACCAGTACCTGTGCCCTCGCCCTCATCTGACCCCTTCTGCCTCCTGCTGAGCGTAGAGATGGTACTTAATCATATAGTAGGTGTTCAGTAAAAATTGAATGGATGAATGAATGAATGCATGCATGAATGCGTTGTGGTCAGTTTTCTCTTCTTTGCAACAAGAATGTTGGGTCAGATCCTCTTCAAGCCCAATCTGATTCCACATTTCCAAACTGGATGAATCCCACTACGAGTGACTCAGATGCCTTTTAGCCCATGTGTAGTTCTTATGCAAATTAGCAAAAAGCGCCTCCTCCAGGCAGAGGTAGCCCCTCTGGAAGGCTCACAGCTTTGGGGGGCAGGGAGAAAGCACACGCTGAATTTTCTGTGCTAGTGCCCTTGAGCGATAA